TTATATTTATTTATATTTATTTATATTTATTTATATTTATTTATATTTATTTATATTTATTTATTTGTCTAGGCGTCCATTTCTAACGCTGCAAGGAAGAACGCATCTCAAAGGCATCGGCAATCTGCGGTGGTTTCGGCACTGTCAGAAACTCGCAAAGTACCCTAAACCCTAAACCCTAAACCCTAATTCTTATTAAAACCCTTAATAATGGTTCTTTATGGGCCTTAAAACCCTTCAAAACCCTCAACCCTAAACCCTAAAGCCTAATTCTTATTAACATCCTTGATAATGAGTCTTTAGAACCCTTTTAACTTTTTAACAGCCTAAACCCTAAACCCTAATTCTTGTTAAAACCCTTAATAACCGCTCTTTAGAGCCCTTTAAAACCCTAAACCCCAAACCCTAAAGGTTTAGGGTTTGATTGCCTTGTTCGGGGCGTGAATTTAGGGTTTAGGGTTTAGGGTTTAGGGTTTAGGGTTTGTGGTTCAGGGGAGTGTTAGGCTTCTCGGAGTTTAATCGTTTGTTTGTTGCTGCACCAAGCAGCCAGCTAGTGCAGCGGTTTGCTGCTGCTGTTTGCTGCTTCTTGAAAGCAAGAGACAGCCTCTACTCAGAAGCAAATCCTCTAGCAGCAGCAGCGCGGCATCTGCAGCTTAGTGCTGCTGCAGCAGAAGAAGAAGTGAGATGCCCGATGGCTTCTGCTGCACTTGCTGCTGCTCCTGCTCCTCTCACTGCTGTTGCTGCTGCTGCTGCTGCACTTGCTCTCGCTGCTGCTGCTTTTGCTGCTGCTCGTACTCTCGCTGCTGCTGCTTGTGCTGTTGCTGTTGTTGCTGCTGTTGCTGCTACTCTCTAAGCTGCTGCAGACGCTGCTGCTGCATGCTCCCGATAAGCTGCATCTTTTGAAGGTGCTGCTGCTGTTGCTGCTGCTTATCCTGCTGCTGCTCCTGAACCGGGCTGTAGGGTTAATGCGCTGCTTGTGCTGCTGCTGCTGCAGCTTCGAGCGACGGAGCAGCAGCTGCAGCAGCTAACTGCAGACCGCGACGCGCAGCAGCAGCACGCTGCCCTCCTGCAGAAAGAGCTGCAATCATTAAAATCCAGTATGCCTTCCTGCTGCTGCTGCTGCTGCTGCTGTGGGTGCTGCTGCTGCTGCGGCTGCTGTGGGTGCTGTTGTTGCGTGTATTGCTGCAGCGGCTCCTGAATTGAAGCAGCAGCAATAGCTTCTACAACTGCTGTTGCTCGTGCTGCTGCTGATGCTGCTGGTGTACTTGCTGCTGCTGCTGCTGTTGGTTCTACTGCGCTTGTTGTTGCCGCTGTTGCACTTGTTGCTGCTGCTGCTAATGCTACTGCACTTGCTGCTGCTGCTGCTGCACTTGCTGCTGCAGCTGTATCTTCGCTTGAGGTGGAGCTGCGTCGCGCAGAAGACAAGAGAGACCTGCAGCAGAAGCAGCAGCAGCGGCTGCAGCAGGAAGTGAAGGAAGCAGCACAGGAGCTCTCGCGACTGCAGCAGCAGAAAGAAGATTATATGGATCAGATCGTACACAGCCCTAACAAGGTCTGCTGCTGCTGCTGCTGCTACTTCTGCTGCTGCACCTGCTGCTGCTGCTGCATCTCCTGCTGCAAGTCCTGCTGCTGCTGCTGTACATGCTGCTGCTGCTTCCGTACTTACTGCTGCTGCTGCTGCTGCTGCTGCATGCGTCGCTGTTCGTGCGTCTGTTGCTTTCACTTGCTGCTGCATTCTCCCCTTCTGCTGCTGCTGCTGCTGCTTGTCTGATTGTACAGCTGAAGCAGAAGAGGCTGGAGCTGCAGCAGGAGCAGCAGCATCAAGATGCGCGGCTGTCTGATCTCAGCAAGCAGCGACAGCAGCAGCAGCTGCTGCAGCAGCAAGTTGAGAGAGCTTTAAAGAAGGCTCTGAAAGCAGAGACAATCCTCACAAAGCACAAGGACGGCGTTTTGGGGGTCTGTAAACCCTAAACCCTAAACCCTAAACCCTAACGGGATACGCCTGCTATCCACTGCGGCCCTGCGCACGCTGATCACGCTTTAGGGTTTAGGGTTTAGGGTTTAGGGTTTGTTTGTTTTGTATACAGCCATATGTTGCTATTAGACAGGAGCTTCGTGCAAGCGAGAAGACGCAGAAGGAGTTGCAGCAGCGGCGGCAGCAGCTGCAGCAGCAGTTGCAGCAGCAGCAGCAGGAGTATCAGCAGCAGCAGCAGCAGCTGCTGCGAGAGGAGGAGCAGTGGAGTACTCAGATAAAAGAATTAAACAGCCGTGTGCAGCAAGCAAAAGAAGAAGCAAAGCACTTCTGGGGCAGCTTACCCTCACAGCAGGTGCTGCTGCTGCTGCTGCTGCTGCTGCTGCAACGAGTGCTGTTGCTCCTGCATCGAGTGCTGCTCTTACTGCTGCAACTTTTGCTGCTTCTGGAGCTGCTGCTGCAGCTGCTGTATCTAGTGCTGCTGCTGCACTTGCTGCTGCTGCTACAACTGCTGCTGCTGCTGCCGTTGCTTTTGCTGCATTGCTTTGTGTGCTGCTGCTTGAGGTGTGCAGGAAGCTATCAAGCTGCTGCAGCAGCAGCTGCAGCAGCTTCAGGCCTCGATACACCGGAAGCGAGAGACACACGCTGAGTTGCTGCAAGCAGCGCAGCAAACAGAGCAGCAAATTAATAATCTCTTCCGCTCGTACCTGGCCCAGCTGGAGACCTGCAGGTAGGGTTTAGGGTTTAGGGTTTAGGGTTTAGGGTTTAGGATTTGGGTTTACAGGGTTTAGGCCTTACATGATATAGAGGGTCTAGGGTTTAGGGCTTTGAGTGTTTAGGGTTTAGGGTTTGGAGGGTTTAGGGTTTAGAGGGTTTGGGGTTTAGAGAGTTTAGAGTTTAGAAGGTTTAGGGTTTAGGGTTTAGGGTTAAGGGGGCTTAAGGATTAGTGCATACAGGGTTTATAGGGTGGGCCTCAGGGTCTCCAGGTGGCAGTCTAGGGTTTAGGGTTTAGGGTTTAGGGTTTAGGGTTTGGTGGTTTTGCTGCTGCAGAGCGTCTCTCCCTCGGCCTGCGAGTTTGCTGCAAAGTCTGCCCAACACAGAGAACAGACCCCCACTAACACTGCAGCAGCAGCAGCAGCAGCAGCAGCAGCAGCAGCAGCAGCAGCAGCAGCAGCAGCAGAAGTGGCAGCAGCAGCAGCAGCAGCAGCAGCAGCAGCAGCAGTATGTAGAGGAAGAACAGCTCAGCAGCAGAGTCTAACCAAACCACCGCACAAAACCCTTCCATTGCGGGGCCCACAACTAGACCCTAGGGTTTAGGGTTTAGGGTTTAGGGTTTATACCCTACTAGCACAATCGCGGAGCGGTTGCCGCTGCTGCTGCTGCTACAGATTCTGCTGCAGCAGCTGCTGCAGCAGCAGCTGCTGCTGCAGCGCGAGGGGCCCCCTGGGGGCCCCCAAGTGGGGGCCCTGAGCGTAGGGGTTTAATTTAATAAGCTGAGGACGTACGCCTGTGAAGGTTTTGTTTGTCTTTGTTTGTCTGTGGTTTTGTTGTGCTTCTCTGTCTCCTTTCTTCTAACCCTCTATTTAAACAGCTGTCTCTTTTTAGCTTTATATATATATATATATACATAGAGATATATAGATATATAGATACAGATATGCATATAAACATATATATATATATATATATATTCATTTAGGTGTGTCTTCGCTACTAAGAGAAAGGGTTTAGGGTTTAGGGTTTATCTCTCTATAAACCCTAAACCCTTCTGGGTTATTATAAAGCCCTAAACCCCAAACCCTTTCTGCTTGTCTTCTTAAAACCCTAAACTCTAAACCCTTCCTGCTTGTCTTCTTAAAACCCTAAACCCTTCCTGCTTGTCTTCTTAAAACCCTAAACCCTAAACCCTTCCTGCTTGTCTTCTTAAAACCCTAAACCCTTCTTCTGTCTTCGTTCAAAACCACAAGCTAAACCCTAAACCCTTTCTCTGTTTGCTTCCGACCCTAAACCCTTCCAAACCCTTGACCCCGAGCTAAACCCTAAACCCTAAACCCTTCCTTTTTGTGTTTGCACAACTTTGCTTTTCTTCTCTTTTTGTTCGCTTAAACAAATCTGCAACTGGCAGCGAAGCAGAGTATCCCAGCTAGCTGCATTGCTAGCTAGCTAACCAACTGCTTGCATGGCTAGCTAGCTGCTTAGATAGCTAGCTAGCTACTTGCGTCGCTAGCTAGCTGCTTAGATAGCTAGCTAGCTAGCTACTTGCGTCGCTAGCTAGCTGCTTATATAACCAGCTAGCTAGCTACTTGCGTCGCTAGCTAGCTGCTTAGATCGCTAGCTAGCTAGCTAGCCACTTGCATCGCTAGCTAGCTGCTTAGATAGCTAGCTAGCTAGCTAACGAGCTACTTGCGTCGCTAGCTAGCTGCTTAGATAGATAGCTAGCTCGCTAGCTACTTGCATCGCTAGCTATCTGCTTAGATAGCTAGCTAGCTAGCTAGCTACTTGCATCGCTAGCTAGCTGCTTAGATAGATAGATAGCTAGCCAGCCAGCTAGCTACTTGCATGGCTAGCTAGCCGCTTAGCTAGCTGCTTAGCTAGCTGCTTAGCTAGCTAGCCAGCTAGCTGTCTGGCTAGCTAGGCATCTGCTTGGTTAGCTGGCTAGCTAGGTAGCTAGCCAGTCGGCAAGCAGACTCGCTGAGCTGCGAGCACTTCCTTTGGTTTGCCGCTCCTCACGGCCTTAACAACTGCGCAGCTAGCTAGCTAGCTAGCTAGCTGATGCAGCGCCTAAATACGCTGCCCAGGGGTTACGATGAGGCGGCTGCAGCGTCAGGGGCCCTGGGCTCCTTCTGTCTCTCGAGTTCGAGACAGCTTGTCTTTGTTTATTTATTTATTTATTTATTTATTTGTATATTGCCTTTGCTGCTGCTCTCTGCTGGGCCCCTTGTGCTGCTGCAGCAGCATCAACAGAGGAGACACAGCACGAGAGACAGCAGAGAGCAAGGAGACGCCAGCGCTGCTGCTGCTGCTGCTACTGCTACTGCTGCTGCTGCTGCTGCTGCTGCTGCTGCTGTCTCCATTATTATTGTTGCTTTTATTGTTTGGTTTGCATGCAGTATCTCTCTTTGTTTTTCTTCACCTCAGCTTTCTGCTTATCTTCAGAGTGCTTCGCTTCGGTATCAGAGCCTCAATGTCTTCTTCCTCCTCCTGCAAACAAACCCTAAACCCTAAACCCTAAACCCTAAACCCTAAACCCTAAACCCTTAACAGCCCCACCACAGCCCCAAACACGAAACCCTACACCCCAAGCATCAGACCCTAAACCCAAAACCGTAAACATCAGCAATAGTAACAGGAAAATAAACAGCAGCAACAGCAGCAGCAAATCAACAGTAGCAGCAACAGGAGCAAACGCAGCAGCAGCAACACAAAGGGCAGCAGCAGCAGCACCATCAACAGCATCAGCAGCCGAACCAGCAGCAACAGCAGCAACGGCAGCAGCAGCAGCAACGACAACAGCAGCAATAGCAGCAGCAGCAACAGCAGCAGCAGCAGCAGCAGACCTCTGATTCGCTGGGCTCTTCCCTTAGGCCAAGTTCGCCGCGAAGCCACAAACCCCAAGAAGACACCTGCAATAAATAAATAAATAAATATATAAATAAATATATAAATATATAAATAAATAAATAAATAAATTTATAAATAAACAAATAAATAAATAAATATATATATATATATTATATTTGCATATTTATACTTAGATATATATATTTAGATTGATACGCAATAATAATATTAATGAGGAGCTGCAGTATTATATTACAATTATAATTTTCTAATACAAATGCATGCATGCATGCATACACCCCACTGCATGCATGCATGCATACACCCCACTGCATGCATGCATGCATACACCCCATGCATGCATGCATGCACTCAATGTCTCGCAACCCTTTAGCCCTCAACGAGACAGCTGAGAGCCCTAAAACTGCGAGCTGCAGCAGCAGCAGCAGCTACAGCAGCAGTAGCTGCTGCTGCTGCTGCTGCTGCTGCAGAGGCTTGCTCGATATTCGCGGGGTGTATGTACACCGGAGCCACACGAAGGCAACGCGTAAACTGCTTTCTACAGCTCCGCCCGCGCATCAAACCCTAAACCCTCTAAACCCTAAACCCTAAACCCTCTAAACCCTAAACCCTAAACCCTAAACCCTAAACCCTCAGTACCTGGAACATCACAGCAGTGCGCCCTGGCGTGTCATCATTCACATCCTCCAACCACTGCACAATAACAAACACCCAAACCCTAAACCCTAAACCCTCAAAACCCTAAACCCTTAAAACCCTAATAAACCCTCTAAACCCTAAACCCTAAACCTAAATTATCTCAAAAAAAAAAGGAAAGTGATCAGCGTCAAGACAAACAAACCTCCACCAGCCTAAACCCTAAACCCTAAACCCTAACCCTCCAACCCTAACAAACCCCAAACCCTAAACCCTAAACCCTAAACCCTAAACCCTACTTACAGCAACGAACTCATCTTGAAGAAGAATATTTTCTAAGAGGAGCCAATCAAAGAGAGCCTCCGCTAATGCACTCGCAGGCGATAGACGGGGACAGCCGATCTCTAAATAAATATAAAAGGAGACAGATAAAGAGATAAAAGTTTAATTAATTATTTTGTTTATTTATATTTAAATATGCGTTTAATTATATATTCGTCAATATATTTATTATTTATTTATTTATTTATTAGGACGAGACGGGGGCAGCCAATCTCTATAAATAAATAAATTAAAAGGAGACAGATAGAGAGGCAAACGCCTATTTATTTATTTATTATTTATTTATTTATGTTTATTTGTTTATATATTTATTAATACAGGAATATAGACAGAAACAAATAACAATAAAGAGACAGCAAAGAGATAATAAACAGATAATAAAAAGATAATAAAGAGACAATAAAGAGACAATGAAGAGACAGTGAAGAGACAATGAAGAGACAGTGAAGAGACAGTAGAAAGCAAAGAAACAAAGAGAGAGCAAAGAAGATTAAAAGAGAGACAGAGACCGCACAGCTGCGTCTCTTTACAATCTCTATATCATACACCCTGCATGCAGCTGCTGCGATGGCAGCTAGGGTTTAGGGTTTAGGGTTTACCGTTGATGAGTCTGGCTGTCTGTCTTAGCAGCAGCGCCGCTGCCCCTGGAGAGTCTTTATATTCATTTCTTGCTTTCTTCATGAGCTGCTGCACAATAGAGACAAGGGGTTTGCATTTGCTGCGCAAGTACTCGCTGCTGTTGCTGCTGTCGCTGCTGCTGCTGCTGCTGCTGCCTGCTGCAGCAAGCCCTGTCCTTGCAGCTAAAGCAACGCAGCAAAGAGGGAAGGCAAGAGAACCCTCGTCAGCAGCAGGAACCAGAGACAGCAAAGCAGCTGTCTCCTCACTGGAGAGAGAGTCTCCTTGCTGCTGCTTATCAAGGTGCTGCTGCAGCTTCTGCACGAGCTGCTGCAGCGCCTCCGGGTTGCTGCAGCGGAAGGCGTGCTGCATGCGCAGCAGGTGCTGCTCTTGCTGCTGTCGCTTCTGCTCCAGCTGCTGTCGGCGTGCTGCTGCTAGCTCCTGCTGCTGCTTCTTCTGTGCTGCTTCTGCTGCTGCTGCTGCTTCACGCGCTGCTGCTGCAGAACTCAACAGAGAGCTTACTGCACTGCTGCTGCTGCTGCCTTGCTGCTGCTGCCCTCTTCCTGCTGCAGCACCTCCCTCACCACCGCGGCGGCAGGGAGGCACGTACCTGCTGCTGCTGCCAGCAGCAGCACCAGCAGCACCTGGTGTTGTTGCTGCTGCTCCTGCTGCTGCACCTGATCCCCTTAGAGACGACAGCTTTATAGGCTGAAGCACAACGGGCTCTTCTCTCAACGGTGGCTTTGCTGCTGCAGCACCACCAGCAGCAGCTGCTGCTGCTGCTGCTGGTTCTGCTGCAGTTTGTCTCTTCCATCTAGGGACGAACTTTCCCTCAGAGTCTGCAGCAGCAGCTGCTGCAGACTCCGAAGACGCAGCAGGTGAAGCTGCTGCAGCATCTCGAGAGTTGCTGCTACCCTCCCCAGACGATAACTCGCTGCTGGGTGTTGTTGAAGCTGCCTGCTGCTGCTGCTGCTGCTGCTGCTCCTGCTGCACCTGCTCACTTGCTGCTGCTTCTTCTGCATCAGGATTCGTTTGAGGGGATGTGCTGCAGCTCTTCTGTTCTTGTGTCTCTTCTGCTGCAGCTGGAGGCGTCGCTGCGGGTGTTGCTGCTGCTGGTGCTGCAGGCTCTGCTGCTGGTGCTGGTGCTGCAGGCTCTGCTGCTGGTGCTTCAGCAGGTTCTGCTGCAGCAGTCTCTGCTGCTGGTGCAGCTGCTGCTGCTGCAGCATCTCGGCGAGGCTGCAGCTGCAGCTCTCCAGAGACAACAGCAGCAAACACCTCCCTAAACCCTCTTGATCTTTCTTTATCTGCAGCAGCAAAAAGAACCGCAAAACAAAACAAAACAGATATATAAATGAAGAAGAAGCATATTTAACCCCTCTACTGTCTCTGTCTCTGTCTCTGTCTTTATGCCTCTCCTTCTTCTGCTGCTGCTGCTCTGCTGCTCTCTCTCTACTTTGCTTTTTATATTTATGTCTGTCTTTGTTTGTTCGGTGGATATATCTGCTGCTTATTTATCTCTCTCTTTGTTTCTTATCTAAACCCTAAACCCTAAACCCTAAACCCTAAACCCTAAACCCCTAAGACGTACCCTCTTCAGGTTTCTGCTGCTGATTCCTGATACCGCTACGAATACCGGAGAAAGATATATCATCTGCTGCATTGCTGCTGCTGCTGCTGCTGCCGTTTGGCCTCCTAGGGCCCCCCTTGCGTGCAGCTGTGAAGTCTACTGCATCATCAGCTTGCTGCTGCATGCCCCCTCTTCTAAAGCTGCTGCTGCTGCTGCTGCTGCTGCTGTCTCTAAGCAGGCCGCTCCTTGCAAGAGAGAAATCTGCTTCTTCAACCTGTGGGCTTTTCTTTCCTGCTGCTGTTGCTGCACCAGCACCAGCAGCAGCAGCAGCAGCAGGGGGTCTCCTTCGCACCATAGAAAAGTCTGCTTCCTCTTCTTCTTTACGGGGGGCCCCAGGGGCCCCAGGGGCCCCTTGGGGGCCCCCAGGGGGCCCCCCTCCACCCCTTCTAATATTTGCAAATGATATTTCTTCTTCTGCTGGAGCCGAAGCACAGAACTTTGCACCGCGGGCGCCTTTGAAGCTGACCTCAGGCTCTTCTTTCTGAAGATAAATAAATAAATAAATTAATTTAATTTATTTATTTATTTTATTTATTTATTTATTTAATTCGCAAAAATTCAGCAACAAAAAGACGACAAAACGATGCCAGCAGCAGGAAAAACGCAAGAGCTCCTGCAGCAGCAGCAGCAGCAGCAGCAGCAGCAGGAAAACAAGTAGCAGCAGCAAAAAGAGACAAACAGCAGCAGCTGCTGCTGCAGCAGGAGACAAGCAGCTGCAGCAAAAGGAGACAGGCAGCAGCAACAAAAGGAGACAAACAGCAGCAGCAGAAAAAAGAGAAAAGCAGCAGCAGCAGAGAAAGGAGACAAACAGCAGCAGATGCGCGAAAAGGAGACAAACAGCAGCAGCAGCAGCAAAAGGAGACAAACTGCAGCAGCAGCAGCAGCAGCAGCAAAAGGAGACATGCGGCAGTAGAACAGACCTTGGGGGGCCGCACGTCGCGCCTCCAGTCTCCGTCGCTGTCTCCTTCTGCGTCTCTATCAGCCCACCGCCCCGAGTTGCCTGGTGTACACACACCCCAAACCCTAAACCCTAAACCCTAAACCCTAAACCCTAAACCCTAAACCCTAGGTTAGGAACCTCGAACCGAAACCCTAAACTCTAGCAACACAGCGCTCTCCAGAAACTTACGCACGCCCTAAACCCTAAACCCTAGAACCCTAAACCCTAAACACTAAACCTTAAAACCCTAAACCCTAAACGCTAAACCCCAAAACCCTAAACCCTAAACCCTAAACACTAAACTGCGACATAGAGGGAGTATGCAAAGGACGTGGTAACGGCGGCAAAAAAAACAAACAAAAGAACAAACACAGAAACCCTAAACCCTAAACCCTAAACCCTAAACCATAAACCCTAAACCCTAAACCCTAAACCCGCAAATCGACATACCCTCTCTGTCGAATCTGCTCCATTTCTTCTCCTTCTCCTCTTCCCTCTCATCCGAGGGCCTGAGAACGTCACACGCAGAACCCTAAACCCTAAACCCTAAACCCTAAACCCTCTCCTTCCCCTTCTGTTTGCTGCGACCTTCTCAGCCTATCTCCTTCATTCATTCGATATACACAATAAGCCCTGAGGGGCCCTGGGGCCCCCCAGGGGGCCCCCAACGGGGGCCCCCAGCAGCCACACTCTTCAGTTGGGGGGGCCCCCATAGTACCCCGGGCAAAGGGGGCCCCCCGGGGGCCCCTGGGGCCCCTTGGGGGCCCCCAAGGGTACCTGGGGGGCCCCAGGAGTACCTGGGGGCCCCCCTTGAATGCTACTTTCTGTGTTATGGGGGCCCCCCATTAGGTAAGAGATGGGGCCCCCTAGGGGCCCCTTCAAGGTGAAGTGAATAAGAAAGAGATGAGAGGGGCCCTCAAGAGAAAGGTATATAATAGAAGAGAGAGAAGGAGACAGTGTGGTGCTGCTGGTGTTGCTGCTGCTGCTGCTGCTACAACGCCCCGCAAGAGAGACTGGGGGCCCTAAAGGGTTTGTTGGGGCCCCCATAAGGAGTTCAAAGCTCTCTGCTGTGTTTGCTGCTAGAGACAGCACATATAAATAATAGTATAGCTTTATACTCACCGAGGGGCATCCGGAAGAATGTTACCTGTTTGATATTCGCGCTGCAGGTCCCGCAGGTTTACCCGAGTGCCCTTGCTTTTAGGCGCCATGGTTGGGGTTTAGGGTTTAGGGTTTAGGGTTTAGGGTTTGGGGTTGAGGGTTTAGGGTTCCAAGGCAACAGGAGGCAGACAACGCTCAGCAATATACGAAGAAGAAGCCCTGTTCTCTCTTGCTGCTGCTACAAATGCGCCTGCAGCTGTTGCCGCCATCGCCGCAGCAGCAACCAGGACAGCTGCAGCCGCAGCAGCAGCAGCAGCAGCAGCAGCAGCAGCAGCAGGCACAGTCGCAGCACTGCTGCAGCGCTGTCTGTAAGGTTCTTCTTGAATATCCCTGTATATTTTCTTGTCATTTATAATTAAAAAGAATAATAATGATGATAAAGACAGCAAACAAATGCAATAGGGGCTCTTCTTATGCACGTAGCTGCTGGCTGCTGCTGTAGGGAGCGCCTGTGGCTGTAGGCCCGCAGGGGTTTGTTTCTTCGGTTTGTTTTATTTATTTAGTCAAATTAAATATCTTTCATTGTTTTAATACATTATAATTATTATATTTACAGTATATTTAATCTATTTAGCCAGAGGTTTCCCTGCAAACAATCACCCCCTAGTAGCACCGCCTAGCAGCACCCACACACTGAGCTGCACGTACACCCCAAGTGGCTGAGGCTTGCAGGTATTATTTGCCTTCAGAGTAGATTAAAGATAAGAATATAAGGAGCTCAGCGAGACAGAGACAAAGCCATCAACTGCGTGGGGGCCCTGGTGGGTTGTGTACGTAGCTGAAGAGCCCCTATAATGTCTTAGCTCGCTAGGGTTTGCTGTCCTTTAAGGAGCTCCCCTAAACCCTAAAATCAAAGGGGAATAGTATTTAATAGCAATAGATATCTTCCTCTGTCTTTCCTCAATGTTGTGGGTACAGCGGAAGATGAAGAGGGGCCCTAAGTTACGCTACCAGCACATTAATTACTATCTTCAATTATGCTGCAAGACGCCTTCTCTTCTAAGGGCAGGCAGAGCTCGTTTATTTGAATATTTTATAAACCTAAAGAAATTACTTTAAGAAAAATATAGAAAAGAAAGTTAGAGTACTTGAATATGTTTATTCAAGTTAGCAACTTTCTATTGAATTGCTTGAGCTGCGATACCCCCAAAGAGTTGAAGCAAAACAAAACCCTAAAAGGCTGCTGCTGCTGTTAGTTTTGCTGCTGAGGCCCTCTGCCTGTCTCCATGTGGCTTGGGGATAGTGGCACAAACGCCTGGGGCTGCTGCGCATGCTTTGCTGCAGCTGCTGCTGCAATGCAACTCAGCTTGCGAATATACCCAAACCCCGTTGCTGTATGCACTGACACTGTAGACAGTTGATAAGCACCTGGATCGAGACGAAGGACTGCATGCAAACAGAGATCCGCGCACCAACTTTAGGCATGCAGAATCATGCAGCTTCTGCATGCATGCTGTAGAAGCTGCAGCAAGGTGTACTACCACCCATCATATGCTGCTTCCTCTATGCACCGGCCTCAGACCCCTGTGCGTCTGCAGAGTTGGGGAGGAAGCCAGTTGCTTTTTTTTGAGATATTCTATGCATTTTCACTCCGCTGCAGATTATTAAATATATCTGCTAGCACTTAGAGCACTCTATACACTCGGGAAATAATCTATGCTAATGATCGATGCAAAGTTAAGCAGCAAGCGCAACCCCCGCAGCTGGATAATCTTATGCCTATTACTGACAAGGCGTGGATGCGCTCTCTAGAGAAAGATAGCTTCTAAGGATATCCTTCCTAAAATACTTTTTAAGCATTCACGCTTTCTTTTTCTTCATCTTGAAGAGAGGAGGCTGACTAGGGTCTGCATTCTGACGGGGCAGCGAAAAACAGCTGGTGCAGTGCCGCCTTAAAAAAGGGGTATTATCCTTGTTTGACCTCCTCCACCACAAGTTTTATGCTAAAATCATTTATGAATAAGGCCTCCGTAGTTGTCTACTGTCTACATATGATGAGCGGTGAGATGGAGGGGCAGCGAAGGGGTCCTTTGCACTGGAGGAGGCATGCTCTAATCCTCGAAATACACAGGAAGAACAAAAGGTGCTATTAACATCTCCGGTTTCTTAGCAGAGGAGACACTTAAATGGTGGCAGTGTACAGGCAAGGTTGCCTCTTCCCCGCAGCGAATCTGGTGTATGTACTGCTGCCCCCAAGCGATGCAATGCGGGTTTGGAGGAGTTCTTCGCATAATAGGGAATACTTGAACAAATAATTGGAAGTTATAGGTGTAAAGATACAGCGAAGAGTATCATCCCTTTGTGAACAACAGGGGATTGATTTAGAGACGCTCTCTCCACGGAGCATAGCAAGGCTATATATCCCTTTGAGAGGCAGCATGCAACTGGCAGGTAGGTGGTTGGCTGGGAAGCGGAGAGGGAACTAGAGAATGAAAGCATTGCTCAATGTTTGTTTGGTGATGTGGAGAAGTACTTGTGTGCATCCAAGAGACAAAAAGCCTCGAGCAAACTCCTTAGGTAAGGAGGGGAAACAACTAGGCTGGGGGCGACTCATAGCAACAGCAAAACGAGAACTGGTGAACTTTTAGGGATAATGTGGGGCCCAATGCATTAAAATATAGTATTTAATGAATAAGGATGTCTGCTTTTATTCAAGTAATGCAGACACAATCCTAGGCAAGTCGTAGGTGTATGCCATTGGAGGGTACTCAGGCGCTCGCCAGCATCCACTACTGAATTCTGCGTAACTAAGCAATAAATACGTGCATCTCTCAGCGCACCCAACACCGTTCACGTCCTTTATTACAAAGACAAAAAGAGTGAGGAGACACAAAAGGAGTGCAGAGTTGCTGAGGGAAACGACGGAGTATGGCATGCACCCCAGCACGAAGACAGCAGTTCAAGGGGACCCAACAAAATAAAACCACCTAAAACAGCAGACAAAGCTGCACTAGCCGGGAGAGCTCTCAGATACACTTAACAAAAAAAAAACGCCTCCAGTGCGTACACTGAAGTCTCCCCCATGAAACAGACTCCCTGCGCAAACCCAAGCTTTTCTTCAGCGACGTAGGCTTCCCCCGCAATATAAGAAAAGGGCGACAAGCGGCAAGCAAACAAACTGCTAAAAGAGGCAAAGTTCAACTGTTAAGTAGAGCGGTTGAATACCCGGAGAAGAACAAATATAGGGTGGTGGCGCATCTTTACCGAATACAGGCCTTTAAGCACAGCCAAGGCGAATTAAAAGTTTACAATAATCTCGATCGACAAACTGCTTTACTACCTGCATGACTCAGCAGCCTGTCTATTATTCACCTTCACGGGCTTGTTTAAACATTCTCCAACACGTTCTCAAGACCAGCACAAGACTGCACTTCGCAGAGACAGTCAAAAGCTAGAGTACTTCTGCATGCGCATTGGGCTCGTCGTGGTGCGGCGAGAGGTTGACAACAACGTTTAGGGCCTATTTATTGATGGGGAGAAAATGGTCTTGTTTGCATGCATTGCATGCGTCTGTTCAGCTGGGATCTTCAGCGGTACTTAACAGTACCTGAGGCATGTGCTGCAACTTGTGCGTACGAAGCTGCAGCTCGTTAAGGCATACAAGCGTTTGCTTTTTTGATGCTTTTGAGGCCAACAGCTAGCTTCTCAGGGTCTCATGTGTCTGCAATCCTTCGCCCGTTGCTCCCATTCTTGTCAAGTCTACGCCTACATACAGCCGAACGTCTTGCAAATCACCCACCGCCTCTGGCACGCAGCTGCATGCTCCTTTATGCAGCTTGCAGCAGCTTCGTAAGCGGATGAAGAAATCACAGAAAAAAGAAGAAAAACTCTACCTCAAGCGGCGCTTGAGAACTATTTTAACCCACGAGACATGGCTATGTAGGAGATCTTCATTACTTTGAGTTGATGTATTTGCTGCTCATTCTCGGGTAAATGCGTTGGCCTGCAGCGTCAATTTACTACCAGCATGGAGGTGTAAGCATGCTGTTTAATTTCGGTTTGCTAAGAGGATTCAAAAAGTCATTCAAATCTCCTCGCACTCTCCTCACAGAACAGGTACAGCGCCAGTACGGGAAGGAGCAGCCGGTGGAGACTGAGGGCTTCGACGCAAGACTAGCGGGGCCCAGATGCTGTATAGAATGAAATTACTGCGTTAGATAGAGAGGGAGTTGACTGTCCGGAGTTGCATCTGAGGGCCGCTTGTGCAACGCACGCACTCATACCTCTACTCCGCAGGGATATAAAGTGTCTTTACGCCTCCCTCAGTTATGCGGTGGGAAGTGCACCAATAATCACAATGAGGGGGAAGGTTGGACTGCAAACAACTTTTCTGATTGCGCTGGCCCTCAAATAGGTTCTGTGGTCTTTCTTATAATTTAATTACTCTTATCGATAATCCATCGACACCCAAGCAACAAAACACCGCTGACCCGCATACGTGACGTTATATAGAGCTGACGAAGTAGGGTTTAGGGTTTAGGGTTTGAGCGGTGTATCTTCCTTGGGAATTAGTCGACAAATTGAGTGAGGGACTCGAGAAGAGGATAACCACCGGCACAAATAAAAAGAAGCTGTCTTCAACACGTCGAAGAAGAGCTCATAAAGCACAGAAGAAAGGGGATAAAGGAGCAGAGATAAGAAAGGAGACGTTAATGCACAAAGACGAAGCCAAGCGCCGCATGTTGTGTCTCCGCTGCCTGAGCAAAGAAGACAACTGACCCCTGTCTCCTTTATTTGCAAAGAAGGCCTCGTGTCCTTCAGTCTCCCTACTCTCTTTGTGTTTAGATGAAAGCCTTTCAAGTCTTTAATGCAGGTTCAAGCCCTCTAACACGTGCTACACAAAAACAAAGAAAAGTAGACAAGATAGTTTCTGCATGAGGTGCCTGTACACCCTAGATATGCTGCAGAAGGTCTCGTGGTGAGGACCGGAGGAGCCTTATATTGATTTTGGAGACAGAAGAGAAGCAAACGGTTTTCAGGTATCTCCTCTGTCTCCTTTCTCTTTTCTTGCGTCCCTTTGTCTCCTTTTGTCTTCTTTCAGTCTCTTGCACACTGCAGCACGGACTCTACAAATAGAGACAGGAGACAGCCCTATTGCTGCTCTCTTGGGGCTGAAGCTGCTCCCGTCCTTCCTTTTATCGACTACACTCAAAGAAATAATTCGTAATGTACTAACTGCGGCGGGAGCCCCGAACAGAGCAACATACAGCTGCTTTTTTATAAGAGCTAGAAGGAGACAGCGCTTGGGTCTCAACAGGGTGTTGGGTGATGATGACACTGTCTCCTTCTTCTGCATGCGAATGAACAGTAAGTAAATTTGCTGCATCTGTACCCTTTGTACTTGCTTCAGAAGCCTTGCTGATGGTTTAATGCATGCTTTTGCTGCTGATTTGCAATGAAGTCAATATAAACTAAACCACCAGGGCTTAAGGGTAAGCTACTGGGGCTAGATATATTAGGGTTTAGGGTTTCGGCTCTAGGGTTTCAAGATTCGGATGTAGAAATTATTACTAAAGATCATGGGTTCAGGGTTTAGGGTTTAGGGTTTAGGGTTTAGGGTTTAGTTCTGTGTGCGTCGCCGCAGGGTCACCTGTCGGAGGCGGCTGAGAAGCGGGTCTGTCTTCTGTTTTTCTTTGTTTTTCTACTTATTGATGTTTGTTTAATAAATAAAATAAAAAGATTAATAAAATAAATATTCTTTTTGCAATGTTTTCGAGCGGATTGATCTCCTTTGCTGCTGCCGTGCTGCTGCTGCGCTGACGCCTGCAGTGCTTGCTGCTCCTGCTGCGCCCACAGAGCTCTCTAAAGAAAGGTATTTGTGTTGATTTATTTAAAATAAATATATTAAATTAATTAATTAAACATAAATATCTGCAAATAACAAAGAAAATAGCAAAGCAAAAGACCCCTCTCGGCTGCTGCCGCCGTAAGCGGCACTCGAGCAGTAGCAGCATCAAGAGCAGCAGCAGCAGCAGCAGCAGCAGCAGGAAGAGCTCCTGCTCTTGCAGCTCATACATCTGGGCCTGTTATGGTTGCTGGATAGAAAGGAGAGGGTTTAATGTTTCTCACTAATAGGAGCTAAGGGCTTATATTTGCTGCTGCAGCAGCAGTACCACAGCAGCAACAGCAGCACCAGCAACAGCAGCAGCAGCAGCAGCAGCAGCGTCAACAGCAGCCTGCCTTGCCTTTTTCTTTGTGCTCGCTTGGCCCCACTGCGAGCCCTAGGAGTATTTTACTGTATTTATGCTGCTCTCTTTACCTCCTATTTGCTGCTTCTTCTTTGAGCTGTATATACACCATCTTAGCTTTGTTGCTTGTGCTGCTGCTGCCTTCCGCTGAAGTGCCGGCTGCTGCTGCTGCTGCTGCTACTGCTGCTGCTGCTGTTCCTGCTGCGGCCCTCGTGGTTTGTTTACTGTGTTTTCTTCTTTATAATGCTTCCCTATTACCTTTATTGAGTTTTATATCTTTTGTTTATTATAAAACAGACAGCAAGAGAGCTTCTCTACTTTATCTGCCCCCTTTACTATACGGTGACCTTCTATTAGATAGAGATATGCAATATTCTGCTGTTTGCTGCTGCTGCTGCTGCTCTCTGGTTTGCTGCAGCAGCGCAGCAGCAGCAGGCCCTTAATAAGAGTCATACAGAGGTAAACAGACACAAGAACCTCCATATACACCCCAAATAAAGAAACCGCCAGCTCCTAAGACAACAGCAGCAGCAGCAGCAATAGCAGCAGCAACAATAGCAGCAGCAGCAACAGAAGAATACGCAGCAACAGAAGCAGCGTAACTACGGGTAGAAGCCGCATAAACACAGGCAGCAGCACTAGCGACAGCATCACTAGCAGCAGCAGTAGCAGCGGCAGCAATTGCTGCAGCAGCAACACCAGCAGCGGCAGCAGCAGCGGCAGCAGCAGCAGCAGCAGCAGCATCAGCTGCAGGGGGGGGTCCTGGCATGTGGGCATTTCAGCAGCAGTCCTCTCTGGCGCTGCAGCAGCAGCAGCTGTTGCAGCAGCAAAGACAGCAGCAGCTGCTGCAACGTCAGCAGCAGAGCTACGGCTGTTCTGGGCTCCGCCAGGACCGCCCCTACCCGCAGCAGCAGCAGCAGCAGCAGCAACAACAGGAGGATCTCAAGTCTCCAAAGCTGCTGCATCATGCTCCTCACTCTCTCGGCAGCAGCGGGGCCCTGACTTCTCGGCAGACTTCCTGCGGCCCCAGCCGCTCTATCAGCAGCAGCGAAGACATAGCAAGACCCCACAGCAGCAGCAGCAGCAGCAGCAGCAGCAGCAATATTGGCTTTTCCCTGAATCCTGATGGGCCCTTTAGACACATCAGCAGCAGCAGCAGCAGCAGCAGCAGCAGAAACAACCTCTCCCACCCTTATTTAGAGGCGTGTCTCTCACAGCGCAATGAGCCGTTTGGTGTTGAGTTGCTGCAGCACGGTTCTGCAGCAGCAGGAGCAGCAGCAGCAGCAGCAGCAGCAGCAGCAGGAGGAGCATTATCTGGTGAATCAAACCCCTTACCCCCTGATGAGTTGGCTTCGTCTTCAATTCAAACGCATGCAGAAGAAGGGGGCCCCCTAGCCGGCCCCCTACGTCTGTGCAGCCTTTCATCAAGCTTTATAGGGGGCCCCCCTGCTGGTGCTTACTTAAGACATAAAGCAAGAAGCAAATCTTGCTTCTCTGCTGCTGAAGATATACAGGGGGCCTCGACTGATCTCCGTCGTGTGAGGTTTTCTCTTGCGGAGGGACAGGCCTTTTCTCCCGCTGCTGCTGCTGCTGCTGCTGCTGCTGCTGCAGGAGGAGGAGCAGCAGCAGCAGGAGCTGCAGAGACACCCAACCACACAAAAGCTGCTCTGCTGCAGCGGCGAATGAGCGATGGAGGGGCCCCTGGAAGAAGCATTTCGAATTCAGCAGCAGCAGCAGCTGCTGCTGCTGCTGCTGCTGCTGCACGAGCAGCAGGTGCAGCAGGAGCAGCAGCAACAGCAGCAGGGGCCCCCAGCAGCAGCAGCCAAACCCTAGGTGCTCACATTACTCTCAGTCTTGATGCTGCTACAATTGCTGCCTCTGGTGCTGTGCAGCCCAGCGATGTATTCAGCCGCATGGAAGTCGTCGCCGTACCAGAAGGTAAACCCTAAACCCTAAACCCTAAACCCTAAACCCTAAACCCTAAACCCTTGCGGGTGAAGGTATACGAACTGTAGATCGACATAACAGCAAATGGTCTCCATTTGAGGAGACAAGATGCCCCAAGAAGCCAATAAAGAAACAGAGTTTATTTGCTGCTGCTGATCTTTGCTGCTGCTGCTCTTTTGCTGTTGCTGCTATGTGCTGCTGCTGCTGCTGCCTGCTGTTGCTGCTCCCTGCTGCTGCACCGCCGCTCAGGCTGCTCCAGTACTGCCGTTGGGACGCATGTATTGCTGCAGCTGCAGGAGAACACGCAACAGCAGCAGCAGCAGCAGCAGCAGCGACGGGAGTCTGCGCGTGCTGCTGAAGCTGCAGCGGAGGCTGCTGCCCAAGAAGCAAGTGCAGCAGCAGCAGATGCAGCAGCAGCAGCAGCAGCAGCAGCGGTTGCTGCGGCAAACTCAGCCTCAGCTGAAGCGGAAGCAGCAGCGTTCGAAGCTCTAGCAGCAGCAAAGGAAGTCGCAGCAGCAGCAGCAGCAAATACACATCCATCTGCTGCAGCACCTGTTGCTGCTACCCCTCTACGTGCTGCTTCGATGTCCGCTCTGCATGCACAAAATTCAGCCCAGAAACTCATATACCGCGGTAGGGTTTAGGGTTTAGGGTTTAGGGTTTACGTTATAGGATTGGAGCTGCTTCTCATCCACGCTGCTACGCTGTAGGAACTAGGGTTTAGGGTTTAGGGTTTAGAGTTGCGTCTGAGGGTTTGTACGGGCGTGTTGAACATCCATTTCCTTTGCTGCTGCTGCTCGTTCTGCTGCTGCTGCTGCTTCTCGTGCTGCTGTTGCTGTTGCTGCTCGTGCTGCTGCTGTTGCTGTTGCTGCTGCTGCTGTTGCTGTTGCCGCTGCTGCTGCTGCTGTTGCTGCCGCTGTTGCTGCTGCTGCTGCAGCTGGATCGTTGAAGCCCCAGCTGAGCCGAAGCAGCAGGAGGTCGTATCCGGAGAGCTTCGCTGCAGCAGAGGCCCTAGACTCGGATGGACTGCTCCCCAGCAGCAGCAGCAGCAGCAGCAGCAGCAGCAGCAGCAGCAGATATCAGAGAAGGAGTCCGTCTTCTCCTGAGTTAGGAAGCCCTGCAGAGGCGCACCAGCGCGTTGCTGCTGCTGCTGCTGCTGCTACTGCTGTTCCTGCTGCTGCAGCTGCTGCTGCAGAGGGTGGCTCCGTCACCCCCTCCGCCCAGACCCACAGCAGCAGCAGCAGCAGCAGCAGCAGCAGCAGCAGCAGCGGGCAGCAGCAGCACTCTACGCAGTCTGCTCTTTCTGCTTTTGCAAAGGCACTTAAACCCAGCGTCCGTTTGATGGGGCAGCGGCTGTCTCGCCACAGTTTCTTTTCAGGTTCTTCAAGTGTCGCTCCTCGTGCTGCTGCTGCTGCTGCTGCTGCTGCTGTTGCTGCTGCTACTTCTGCTGCTGCTGCTGTTGCGCCCACTGCTGCGCCTGCTGCTGGTCCTGCCGCTGCTGCTGCTCCCCATGTTGATGCTGCTGCTGCTGCTGCTGGGGCCGTTGCGCCCGATGATTTGCTGCTAAGGAAAGAAGCTGAAGCAGCAGCAGCAGCTGCTGCTGCTGCTTCAGAGGCCTCCATCTGGCAGCAGCAGCAGCAGCGGGAAGCAGCAGACGCAGAAGGCTGCCGCTTGATTACTTCACAGGGGCACAGCAGGAGGAACCCCTGTCTTGCTGAGCAGCAAGAGTACTATTACGCGCAGCAGCAGCAGCAGCAACAACAGCAGCAGCAGCTACTTCAGCAGCAGCAGCACCAGATGCTTCATCAGCAGCAGCAACAGCAACAGTTACTTCAACAGCAGCAGCAGCAGCAGCAATATCTCCATGACTTGGGGCCTATGCAAGCCGACGGAGGCATCTCTACTAACGGGTATCTCCCTCCTGCAGCAGCAGCAGCAGCAGCAGCAAAGCCGCAGCTTGCTTCAGCGAAGCACCAGGGCCTTTTGTCTATCAGCCACAGACTGATGCATTCTGCAGACAAGTCAGCAGCAAGCAGTAAACGCCAGCAACAGCAGCATCAGCAACAGTTGCTGCAGCAGCAGCAGCTGCAGCATCATCATCAACAGCAGCAGCAGCAGCACGGGGTGTCTGCTGCTGAACCCTCAAGCCTTCTTAGAAGGGGCGGGAGCCTTGCTGCTGCTGGCTTCCACAGCGGGTCTCTGCTGCGTTCGAGCTCTTCTCTGCAGCAGCAGCAGCAGCAGCAGCAGCAGCAGCAAGGTCTGCCGGAGTACCCGCAGCATTTACAGGATTTGCAGTCGCAGCTGCAGCCGCAGCCTCAGGCTTTGGCTGCACATACGCAGCAGCAGCAGCAGTATCATCATCCGCAGCAGCAGCAGGTTCAGCATTTCCAGCAGCAGCAGCAGGCGCATCACGTGCAGCTGCAGCAGCAGCAGCAGCAGCAGCAGCAAACCCCAGAATATGATATTCAGTTTGGAGGCCTCTTTGTTCGTTTGCTGCGCAAACTAAGCGCGAAATGTCACTGCCAGTTTGATGTATGGGAGGCGGAGGCGGTGGGGATAGCCGATCCCGAAGCAGCAGCAGCAGCAGCAGCAGCAGCAGCAGCAGCAGGAGCAGCAGGAGGGGCTGGGGGAGGAGGGGGAGTCAACGGTTCGGGCACAGCAGCAGGTGGAGGAGGAGGTGCAGCAGGAGCAGGAGCAGCAGGAGCAGCAGCAGCAGCAGCAGCAGCTGAGGAAGCAGCAATTATTGTGAAGGGAGAGACACTAGGGGCTCTGCACATGCATTTGCTGGGGCTGCGCAAGCGATTCGCATTGAAGTTGTTAGACGTTGAAAAGACAGAAGAAAGCAGACTAAAATATAAGACTCACAGTGTCTTGCAGGAAGGGCTTCAGCTTCGGGATTTGTGTAGCCAGTTGTGGGGAGCACGTGCAGCAGCAGCAGCAGCAGCAGCAGCAAGCAGCGGGCGTATATTGACAGCAGAAGAGCAGCGTTTACTGCTGCAGCTGCAGCAGAACTGTCCTGATCAGCACCCAGAGTTGGTGCTGCAGCAGCTGCAGCAGCACAACCCTCAACTTCTTCCTGCTACTAGAGGGCTTGCTGTACCGCGATATCTGTGGACAGCAAAAGGAACAGCAGCAGACGGCAGCAGCATATTAGGTGTAGCGATGGAGCGTATAGAGGGTAGGACATTAACACAAGTGCTGCAGCAGATGAGGGCACCTACACGCTCATCTGCTGCTCTACTTCTGCTAGAGATATGTCTAAAGTTTGTTAGCAGCCAGAAGCTGCTTGCATGCGGCATTAATAAACCTATTATCAACTGGGATACAAAGCCAGGGAATGTACTTGTAGAGCTTACTCGAACTTCTGCTGCAGCAATCCGCTGTCTCCGTTGTGTTATAATAGACGTTGGAGACGCTTTACCTGGGCCTTGCTTCTTCTTTCCGACCCGTCACCAGTCAGGTGTCTCTCCTTCGTATGTTATTTGTACTAAAGGAAGCTGCAGCCCTGAATGTGCTATTCTTGTCTTTCTTCTTGCTGCTAGCAGCAAAAGTGAAGCCTTTAGACGCACTTGGTACGGATCAGCAGACACTAAAGCTATGCTTCAAGCTAAAAAGAACAGACTCTTATATAGATGGGGGAGGCTGCAGCAAGAAGGCATTCTTCGTAGACGAGTCCCTCACCAGCAGCAGCAGCAGCAGCAGCAGCAGCAGCAGCAGCAGCAGCAGGAGGGACAGGGACAGGGACAGGGACAGGAATTGCAACAGGGACAGGGACAGGGACAGGGGCAGCAACATCATCAGCAGCAGCAGCAGCATCCGCAGCAACAGCAGCAGCAGCAGCAGCAGCAGCAGCAACAACAACAGCAGCAGCAGGAGGGTTGTGGAGGTCGCAGTGCAGGAGACAAAGGATACTGGGAAGTCTGCTTCTCTGAAGGGAGTGTTGTATTCTCTACCGGTTTAGTAATAGCGCAGCTCTTAGGAGGGCCTAATCTAATAAATGTTCTAGAGAAGGATGAAGTACTTGTGCTGGATATGTTATGTGAATGGGGATGCGAGGGGACAGCTAATCTATTTAGCAATAAACCTAATATAGGCCCTGCCTGTCTCCTTCCTCAGTCTGGAGTATTCGCTCAAGAGCCCTGGCTGTCTCTTGTTAAACAAATGCTGCAGCATACACTTGCTTTCTGCCCTTCAGACAGGTGGTCGCTTGCTGCGTTAGAAGCTTATCTTCTTTATTTCTATAAAGCATTTAGAGACTATACTCAGGGAAAGGAGACGCTTGCTAGACATACACTCCAGCAAATAGCAGTCAAACTCCAGCACAATGCTTTTCAACGATATACCTGCAGCAGCAGCAGCAACAGCAACAGCAACAGCAGCTGCAGCAGCAGCAGCAGCAGCAGCAGCGGGAATGCGCAGAAAAACGAATGAGATTAAAGAGGAACTCAAACAAAGATAGAGAGACAGAGCAACCAGCAGAGAAACCTCTGTCTCCCTCTGTCTCCTTCTGTCTCTTTCTGTCTTTGTCTGTCTCTCTTTGTCTCCTTCTGTCTCTCTCTGTCTCTGTCTGTCTCTCTCTGTCCCTGTCTGTCTCCTTCTGTCTGCTGCCTCATCTATCCCCTTCAAACCCTCCTCCTGTCTCTGTCTGTCTCCTTCTGTCTCCTTTCTATCTCTCTTTGTCTCCTTCTGTCTCCTTTCTATCTCTCTTTGTCTCCTTCTGTCTCCTTTCTCTGTCTCTCTTTGTCTCTTTCTGTCTCCTTCTGTCTCCTTCTGTCTCTTTCTGTCTCTCTTTGTCTCTTTCTGTCTTCCTTTGTCTCCTTTTGTCTCTGTTTGTCTCCTCTTGTCTCTGTTTGTCTCCTTCTATCTCATTTTGTCTCCTTTTGTCTCTACCTGTCTCCCTTTATCTCCTTCTGTCTCTGTCTGTCTCCTTTTGTCTCCTTTTGTCTCTGTCTGTCTCCTTTTGTCTCTGTTTGTCTCTGTTTGTCTCTGTTTGTCTCCTTTTGTCTCTGTTTGTCTCTGTTTGTCTCTGTCTGTGTTTGTCTCTGTCTGTCTCCTTTTAAAGGAGACAGACGCTCGCGTAGCGAGAGACAGACAGACAAAAAGATAAGGAGATAAAGAGACAGAAAGATATGAGGAGATAAAGAGAAAAGGAGACGAAAAGATATGAGGAGACAAAAAGATAAGGAGACAAAAAGATAAAGCGATAAATAGATAAGGAGACAAACAGATAAGGAGACAAACAGATAAGGAGACAAAGATATAAAGAGAAAAGAGACAAAAACATAAGGAGATAAAGAGACAGAAGATAAAGAGAGAGAGAGGGAGACAAGGAGACAGAAAGAAAAGGAGATAAAGAGACACAAAGATAGACAAAATAAGGAGACAGACAGATAAGGAGACAGACAGATAAGGAGACAGACAGATAAGAAGACAGACAGATAAGAAGACAAAGGAGACAAAGATGTGAAGAGATAAAGATATAAGGAGACATAGATATAAGGAGACAGTGAAGTAAGGAGACAGACAGAAATATAAAGAGATAAAGGAGACAGATAGATAAGGAGACAAAGATATAAAGAGACAAAAGAGACAAAGACAAGAAAGAAAGGATATAACAAAGGAGATAAGCAGAAGAAGAGACAGAGAGACAAAGGAGACAAAGGAGACAAATGAGAGAATAAAGACAAAGAGACAGAGGAGACAGATAAGACAGATAGATAAGGAGACAATAATAACGAGATAAAGGAGACAGCTAAGGAGACAAAGGAGACAAAGGAGACAGACAGCAGCAGCAGGGACAGAGTATATAATAGAGACAGAAGGAGACAGCTAAGGAGACAGCTAAGGAGACAGTTGAGGGGACAGCAACAAAAAGCAGAGACAAATATACAAAAGGAGACAGCACCAGCACATAAGAAGAAAGAAAGAGATATAAACAGCAGCACCAAACAAACAAAAACAAAGCAGAGAGACAAATGCAGACATTAAAAGAGACAAACAGAAGGGACAGCAGCAGCAGCGACTGCAGCACAAGTGAGGAGACACCCAAACTCAGCTGTATCTTCTTCTCTTTATCCTCAACAAAAGAAGAAAAGAGACAACAAATAAAAAGGAGACAGAGACACTGGAAAGGAGACACCCGCGCAGACAGAAGGAGACACCAAGGAGACAGAGGAGAAGAAAGGAGGCCCTGTCTCCTTTTTTGTGCTGCCACGTCTAAACCCTAAACCCTAAACCCTAAACAAATTAAAGGGGTTTTAAAGGCGCTCGAGAGACACAGGTCCCTATACACCCGAATACAAAAATGCAGCAGAGATCATAAAAGGGAGACAAAGCGCAAATGCATGCACAGTGCATGCAGACGCATAGACACTGCCCCCGCAGCAGCAGCAGGGGCAGCAGCAGCAGGAACAGCAGCAGCAGCAACATGGCACTCAGCAGCAGCCGTTGCAGCAGCAGCACCACCAGGAGCAGCAGCATCGCCAGCAACAACTGAAGCAGAAGGAGCAGCACCTTCAGCAGCAACTGCAGCAGCAGCAGCAACAGCAGCAGCAGCAGCAGCAGCAGTCCGTTTGCGCCGCCTCAGTTTCTCTGGGCCCCAGGGTGGGTCCCCTCTATTACATTGTTTGTGTCTGTACACCTCCATATATCTCTTTATATAATTTGAGTTATTGTATTATATTAATAGAGGCCTCTTACTCTATTAGGGGGCCCTTGGTGTTAATAGCAATCGTTATTATAATAAAATCTTACTCTAAAGGTAATGCACTTCTATCAGATTTAAAGAAGAGCATGCAGGCCCTCAAAGGCCTCAGAAATTGTATCCTCTATACACACTGTAGGGGACCTGGGGGCCCTAGGGGGCCCCCCAGCCCCTAGGGCCCCCCATGGGGGCCCTCATGGGGGCCCCTGTAAACACTTAAGGCGTGGAAGGCCTCCACGAGGAAAGGGGGGCCCCCTACGGCCCCCCAATCGTTTGAGGGCCCCAAGGGGTTCTAAAGGGTTTAGGGTTTAGGGTTTAGAAATCAGGTATAGGGGCCCTGCTAAATAAACCCACTCCCTCTGGTACGTTCAGGGGGCCCCCAAGAGGGGCTAGGGGCCCCTAAAGCCGTCGAGGCGCTCACCACGCATCCTTACCCTCAAAGGCTTAATAGGGCCCCCTAAATGTGGGGGCCCCTGAAAAGGGGGCCCCTTGAAGATGGGGGCCCCTGAAGATGGGGGCCCCTTAAACTGAGGGCACCTTAAACTAGGGGCCCCTGAAGATAGGGGCCCCTGAAGATAGGGGCCCCCGAACATGGGGGCCCCTGAAGATGGGGGCCCCTTAAACTGAGGGCTCCTTAAACTAGGGGCCCCTTAAACTGGGGGCCCCTGAAGATGGGGGCCCCTGAAGGTTGGGGCCCCTGAAGGTTGGGGCCCCTGAAGATAGGGGCCCCTGAAAATGGGGGCCCCTTAAACTGGGGGCCCCTGAAGATGGGCCCCCTAAGCTGGGGGCCCCTGAAGATAGGGGACCCAGTTGCAGGTTGAGTGTGAGGGGCCCCTTAAATTAGGGGCCCCTTGAACTGGAGAGGTCTTAAACTAGAGCTGGGGGCCCCTGAAAATGGGGGCCCCTATAGTTAGGCTGTCTTTAGTTCTTTCGAGGGTTTAGGGGGCCCCTTAAATAGAAGCACCACTTGGGGGCCCCCCACCTTAGTGCTTAGGGGGCCCCAACTCTGCTGCAATTAGGGGCGTTGAGGCCTTCGTTTCAAACCCTAAACCCTACACCCTGACCATAAAACCCTGTACTATCAACTCTAAACCCTAAACCCTAAACCCTTACTAGATAACCCCCCAAAACTCATCATGGAGACCCCACACATCGAGCAGCAGACTCAGCAGCACAGTTGCTGCAGCAGCAAGAAAAGGTTTGCTTGCTGCAGCTCGCGGCCATTCTCCTCTGTCAGCATCAGCCCTTCATAGAGAAGACAGCTAGCTAGGTAGCTAGCTAGCTAGCTAGCCCTAAACTATCTAAAGGACTCATCAAGTAGCTAGCTGCAACCACCCCCTATATATTATTAGGGGCCCCCTATAATGGGGGCCCCTTCAGAGCCTTTAATGAGGCCCCCTTTTGCTGTCTCCTCTCTTTCAGCTTGCAAAGGGCTTACAAGGGCGAGCACATAATAAATGCTGCAGGGGCCCCTATGGGGCCCCATACTTTGTGGGGCCCCACACATGTGGGGCCCCACAGGGACCTGTAAATAGGGTCTCCGGTTTAGAGACAGGGAAGGGCTGAGGGGCCCTGAGGGGCCCCCTTAAATATCTTGAAACGAAAGAGGGCCCTCAATGCCCCAACAAAACGTTTAAGCATCTCTGCCTAGCCTTTACATGCATATATATATATTATATATA